AGATTTTCTTGCTTAAATAAATTGCTACGTCATCCTGAAGTTTGTCTTTCCTAATTTTCCACGTGGCTCAAAGCCGCTCTTCACGCAGCAAGAAAAAGGACGCAAAGGTACTAGGGACAAAGTTCCAAGACTTCGATGGAATGCTTGGCAGAAGCACGTCAGATCCATGTCAGTAATGCATTAATTGCAAGCTGTGGGTCACAGCTCCCATAGGGAAGAAGCTATGTAACAAAGTATTTTTTGTTTTATTAACAGAGTATCAGTTTTATGTTTATTTTTTGCTACTCTGTAAACTTCCCTTGTTGCTCATCTTTTCTTTATCCTTTATAGTTTTTTATTGCTCAAAAATAAATTGCTGTGTTATTCTGAAGATTGTATTTTCTAATTTTCCATGTGGAAATATAATTGAATAAAATCTGCCCTTGACGACGAGGGCCATTAGCCAGAAACCATGGTCTCCAAGTGGACGCTTTTCAGTTTGTCAAAGCTGGTGTTGTGGCATTTTCATCGGACCTTTAGTTTGCGGCGACGGTCAATAGATGGCGTGTATATTTGACGTCTGTTTTAACAGGAGAGGTAACCTTTGTTTTTATAGATCAATTTATTTCTGCCAAATTTCAATCTATATTTCAAATAAGTGACCTTTTTACTTGATAAAAAGTGAATGGTTTATCTACCTAATTATAGCCTGTGATGATATGGAGATATTAAACAATATTTTTTAACACTCCTGACTTTTAGATCTAGACCTTAAAAATTTTCAAGTGATAAAGTTGAAGGCAAAAAATTATTAATTTATAAATTTATTTGAAAAATATGTATTTTTAATTACATCTAATACCTGCAACGGTAACGGACCAATACTCCATACGAGGAAATCCGAATGGTGTATGTTATATATTCAATTCTTAGTATAAATTTTCAATTTTTGTGCTGCAAATTATTTTTTCCTTCTTGAGTTTTGAGAGTTTATTTTTCAAATTTAGTTTAGAATCTTTTGAAATTATATGTTAATACAGTAGAACCTCCATGAGAGTACACTCGCGCTAGATGACACCTCTCTACAAAGGACAGTTTTCATTTTTAAAATTACCATTTTTACTATTTAGTAACTCACCGGTAAAAGGACACCTCTCCGTAAAGGACACTTTGGCTCTCTAATTAGGTGTTCTTTACATGGTGTTCTATTAGATATTAAAAAGGCGTATATTGGATTGAATAAAAGATTTATTTGCCAATATTTCGGCTGGCTGAACGCCAACCTTTATCAAGGCATTACATTTTTGTATATACAAACTTAGCGTGTTATAACACTATGCGGCGCTTAGTTTGTATATACAAAAATGTAATGCCTCGATAAAGGTTGGCGTTCAGCCAGCCGAAATATTGTGGCAAATAAATCTTTTATTCAATCCAATATATGTATTTTTACTATCTAATGATTTAAGTATGTATTGCTCTATTTTCAGAACAATGTATTTCTTTATACTGCTTATTATAAGATGATAAATTTCTCTAACAATTATATCGTTAGAAATTACTATCTCGTATGATTAACAGAGAAATTGACAGAATACTGACCCGTGGCATCATATTTAATAGACTTATATTACTTCAGTTACATTTAAGAAAAACATTTCTGGATGATCTTTTTGCCAAATAACATAGCGCGCAAGGGATCATTATTTAGAATTGTATAGATTAAAATTATTTTCTCTGGTTGGTTTTTAGGCTGACCAATCGGAGAGTCCGACCCGACCCAGGAAAAGCGGCGGGAACCGGTTCCACAAAAAGTTGCCATTTCTAGAAGGAATGGATGTTCCACTTTGTAGCTGGAATTGTCGGATTGGCTTCTCTATAACTGATCCTGCCCACATTGGTCACGAGGAATTATTTCTGTGAGATATTTAGCGAACTGATTTCAACGGTATATATATTCTTCTCTTCATCTTCTTTGTAGTTTATTGATACTTTTTGGAGCAATTTGAAGATTTTCTACAAAATTTCAATATTGGTTTCTGGTTCCAAATTAACTTTACTAGATGCTGCTCAAAAAGAGAAACTTAGCCAATGATATTTACAACAATGAATAATATGTGAAGGTTATTTACATATTAAAACAAAGGGTCCAATGGGGGATTCGATCCCGGTTCATGGCTATCAGGAATAGAGGGTTTTAACTACTCGTTCATCGACTTTATTGCTTTCTAAATGAAATTATATCTGCTATTTATGATATATATATATATTACAGATGCTTTATGGACTAGAGAATGAGATTTTACAGCAATTATTTTCTACAATAATTTGAAAATAATTTCTACTACATACTAAATTTTATTTTTGTTTATAATTTATCATTATATATATGTATATTATAATTTAATTCAAAGATCATAGTCTTTTGTGTGTTAAATATTTATTTTTGACTCGTGCTTTAGATGTTGTACAAAAATTTTAAACGCCCTTGGAACTTTAGAAAGATTTTTAACGCCTTGCTAAATGTTTAATTTTTGTTTGCTCCTGACGAGGACAAAGGATTTTTGTCGAAACGTCGAGGTAATAAAAAGATTTACTGGCCGAAGTATCTTTTATTTGAAGAACTATGAATGCCGGCCAGGCAGCCTCAATATTTACGATACATACTAAAGGGTATTTCTACAGCGGTCAACAACTGCCTTCCCTAGTAATTCATGGAAGATATTCACCATATATATCACAGCTTCCAACTCTAGAGAATTTACTGCCGCTCTCTAAAATATCTTAAAACTTAATTCTGAAGTAATTTGTGAACGATATATCTAGTGTACTTTGTAGTTTATATATATTTGAGGTTATTCATAGTTGAATTATCGTATAATTGACGGTTTATCTGAGGTTTAGAGTTGTTTTATATATTTTACAATTCTGTTTCTACAACAACTTCTACTTCAACTCAACTGTTTCTATAAAAGTTTACACAAATAAATCATATATTCTAAACTTATTTTAAGAGTAAAAAGACGTTTGACAAGTTTCACCGCAAATATTTGAACGAAAAATCGTAATTTATTTTAAGGAGAAATAACGACTATTTCTAACCTTAGGGATGAAGCATAAAAGGATGAATTGTGAAGAGTAATGATTAACGGAAAAATAAAAGTGTCCAGGGATGGGAATTATTCTATGAGTAGAGTTTACAGAGGAATCTATATTAGTTCCAAGATGCTAATTGGAATTAATTACAGAAGATTTTTTACGTGATTTGCAAATGATATATCTAGAGTATTTTTACTGATCTATTCTCTGGATTATATTTTAAATGTTTCTTCAGTACTTTATAAATGTTTTTCTTAAAGTAATTTGCAGATCAATTCTATACAGGTCTTTGCAGAAGTACTTACCAAACCATTTCTAAAATATCCTACAGATGCTGTTTAGAATGATTTTTCGAGTGCTTTTAGAATTTTCAACTTATTTTAAAGTTATTTACCGTTGATTTCTAAAGTAAGTTACATCAGAATGTTAAATAATATATAAGGTAATAAGACCAAATCCAAATAAATAAATAGTGTGTGAGGTTTCGGTAAAAGTGTTGTTACCATCTTCAGACAAAATTACTGAAAGATAAATTTTTCTTTTATAATCTTCTTTATAATTCTTTTATAATTATTCTATATTTTTCCGATCATCATTACTCTTCATAATTCACCCTTTCATACCTCATCCAAAAAGGTTAGAAATAGTCGATATTTCACCTTGAAATAAAATTTTGATTTTTCGTCGAAAAGAAACTCATGCGGTGTAACTTCAAGTGTCGTTTTACAATCACAGGCAGCAGTGTATTATATTGTAAATTACATTCTAAAACCATTCAGTACTTTTGTCTGAAGATGGTAACAACGCTGTTACCGAAACGTCACATACTATTTATTTATTTGGATTTTGTCTTGTGTTTATAATCTATAATCCAAATTGTGCCCTATCATAAATAATATATAGTTCACACACACCTACTACGAGTATTACAATACAAAATCTAAATTGAAAATACAAACCAATATCTGGGATAATTTTCACACAAAATATTTCTAGAGAATATTTATACAGTTAGTCTCTCTATCTACTACCATGTACTTCTAACAGTAGTTCATACTGTCTTCTATACACTGTAGATTGCACTTTATCTGTAGAAAGTATTACAGGTTGATATCTTTACTGTCATCTACAGCTGTAGTCTAAGATAATTTACAGCTAATATTTAGTTAGTTCACAGCCCTCATCTCCTGAGTAACTTTCAAGTGATGTTTAGACTTTACAAATCACAATTCTTGACAGAGAGAGAATATGGTTTTACGGGCTACTAACCAAAGTGCATGACTTTTGAGCCCAAAAATGGATATAGCAAGCAGACAAACCGCAATGCCCTATAGCAAAGTACCAAAGAGTTATATCCCGAGGTAGAGAATATGGTTTTATGGGCAACTAACCAAAGTGTATGACTTATGAGCCCAAAATGGATATAGCAAGCAGACAAATCGTAATGCACTGTAGCAAAGTGCCAAGGTGCTGAAAAAGGTAATAGCCTACAGCACCCAGTGTTTCTAAGTGGCACTCTCCCAAGTACTGACCGAAATTGCTCAACTTCGATGATCGGACGAGAACCGGTGTTTTCAATGTGAATAGCCATGGGCTAATTACTTGACAGATAATGTTTAGTGGTAAATCTTCAAACTTTTATTGTTGGTTAGCAATTTATTTTACCTGAATTGTTTCTTACAAGCGTTTAAAGCCTGATCACATTAAAAAACTAAATCGATTATACGGATTATCCACTATTAATATAAAGAAATAAGGCGCAATCTATAATGAAAATTAAAAAAAAATTAAGAAGCGAATGTTTCAGGTAGATTAAATTGACGAAGCCGCTAGGAGGGTTCACCACTGATGAGCCAAGCGCTCCCAATATTTTTTCATTGTAGTAAGGACAGTAGAAATTCGATATATATGTTGAAAGAAACATCTGTATCTATTTTTTTTTCATTTTCACTATATTTAATCCATTTTTCTCATAGGATTAAGATATTTCTAGTTCCATCCTTAGCTGAGCAAATGACATTTGAAGACAGTATGAGGTATAGCATTATACGGGATTAATATGAACACTGTCAGCTAAGGAAATCAGATATTGCTGGTTTTTGTAGATAGGTGCTGGAGACGTTCAGTGGAAATACCGTAGACTGTATATATTACAAAATACACGAGGTATTTTCATCAACATAAGAAAACAAATGCTTCAAATATGCTGAAAAAAAATGAAGATCGGATGAAACATGTGCTAAGATATTGTTGTGTCGTCGTGTCTCTATATTCACCAACATGACTGCGTGGGCAAATATGGATTTTGTTGCCAACACAAGATAAGGTACAAGACTGACTTGATGTGGACTGTCGCTCTAAACCTGATAACGGTATTTATATGTTACAAAGCACAATTCATAACTATGCAAAATAGTGCTATCTTCTAAAAGCATAACCAATTATGCAAAATAGTGCTATCTTCTAAAAGAATAACCAACTATTCAAAATAGTGAAGATACAATATAAGTAAATATGTTAATACAAAACAGATATGATAGTCTATTCAAATAAAATATCGATAGAAGGTCGCATTAAAGGAAATAGATCAAGAGGACTTCCTCATGTATCAAACGAAGAGAGAAATCAAAGCAATGTCTTACTACCATTTAAAAACATTAACCAGGAATTGATTATTTTGGAGAACTTTGATTGAATAGGTCCAACATTCTTAGTTCTGATTAACCTGAATAATAATAACTTTATATATATATTATTTATATATATCTTAATACAAGGTTGTCCCAAAAGTTCGTAAACGCTTGCAAATATCAATGAAATATCAATATTATTCGCCGTTATGTATATTGTCTCTATATTATGTATAAATTAAATTGTATTATATATAATATAATTCGTCAAGTAATAAGAAAAACAACGTTTTAAGAAAAATACGAACTTTTGGAACAACCTTATAAATGGCTGTATTAGGCGGATACACACTATCTACTCTGATTTGAAGTAAAAACGAGTCATTTGGTGAATGAGGGTGAAGGGAAAATGGAGAAACAGGTTTCCTAATTATAGAGCCCTACCTTCCCATCCCTGGGGCATTTTCACACTCAGACAGATGGCATTGTGTTAGGACAAGTCAACTAGGCCATGTGTCAGTCAGTGTGTAGACAGCTGGAGAGGAGAATGGGCTTCAATCCAACATTTGATTCAGATAACATGGGAGATAGCATGCTGAAGACGATTGGGAGGAAGAGAATCAGCAGTTCGGGCATCTTGTCCGACATTCATAATGTATAATAGGAAGACCGAAAATGGAATACATGGTCAATTTTGGGGCGTTAAGATAATATGAAAAGATTACTCATAGAAAGTAAATTCTAAGAGAAACTGCCCCCCTACCGGCCTATAGCTTGAGGTGAAATGATTGGGAACTAAGAATAAAATGTCATTATGCGATCTTCGAGATAATAAGACGGTATTAAGAAGGCAAAAAAGTAGCTGTTAACGAAACGTTACACACTATTTATTTATTTATTTATTTGGTTTTGTTAGCTTGTTAGTAGCACTATGGCCGCCCGTTACAAAGCCGTCATTTATTTTCAAGCACCTCGAATTTTACGAACTTTGATGGGTGGATGTACATTATCAATTGAGTGATTGTTTTACGGATCATGATTACATTTTTTCAAATTATCACTAACCAGTTAAGATATTATTAACATATTTCAGGTGTTACTGATTTATATTTATCAAAAACTTGCACCTTTTAACTCTGCTGTCTTCTGTCTGCTCCTCTGTTTAAGAATGTGGTTTCCAGCGAGAACATATTTTATGGACTTTAAATATTAATTCAGAATCACATTCACACTATTTGAACTTATTTTAATCCATGTGGATGACTGTTCATGAGTATTCCGAAGTTTCTTTCGTCTTAATTTTTCAAACATGTCTACATTTTTCGTTAACTCAGCTGTTGATGGTCGGATTTTGACATGACAACTTTGGCTCATCTTCCAAAGACAATCTTCCCTAATTACATTGTGCAAATAAATAAAATATTATTGATATTGAAAAATCATATAAGACGCCGCAACTATTTTCTTCTATTAATATTATAAAGTAGCTTTCGGGTAAGCCCTTCCTCAGCAAACTGAAACATAAAAAGGTAATGGGGAGAGATAATATTTTAAAGATATATCTTGGTAAACTAGCCGAGTGACCCGGGCAACGCCCCGGGTTTACCCGAAGGACCCGCAGGTGAGAAACTATAGAAGAAAAATTTTAACAAATCAGAAAATGAAATTGAAAACAACAGAACTACACTTCTTTAAGGACATGAGAGCACATGCACTGTATCACCATACGTGTACCATTTTCAAAGACCCTGCTTAGGATTAAAACTTCTCAGAAGCATAACAATAGTACCAACCTAGAGGTTAACTGGTGTGGATGCATTCCTCTGGGAGTAAGACTATTGAGAAATTCAGTAGGGAGTTATTTTGCTTCTCCGCATTCTAACACTCCAACTGTTAACACTGTGGAAACACTGACTCATGTTTGGTAAGCAATTTCAGGGAAGAAACTATAGACATTGGATTAAATAAATTATTAATTAAATTGCATTAAATAAAAATTATTAGATTTAAATAAATATTATTAGAGTGAAAAAAAAAGAAAAAATTAACAAATAAGAAAATAAAATTTCGAAAAATACAACTATATTGCAGATAAGATAAGAGGACCTTATTAAAAAATAAATAAACAAACTGTAATTCGACACTATCGATAATTCGACACTTTCGATAATTCGACACTTTCGATAATTCGACCATTTTAAAAATCAAATTTACAAGGTTGATTGTTGTTTAAATACAACTTTGATTTTGCATGCATAAACACAGGCTCTTGTAGCAAGAACCCAAATATTATTTATAGTCATAGCAAAAGCCAACTTTAGTGAAAACTGATGCCTCTTCAGAATGAATGTAAGACTGAAATCTGAAGGAGCAGAAGATATGGGTCATCTTTACATGTATGCTATCCAATGTTCGCACACTTGAAAAAGCCACATATAAAGTTGTCCGTGCGTAAACACAGGCTCTTGTAGCCAAGGTTTGGCCTTGAGCCTTATTTATAGTCATAGCAAAAGCCAACCTTAGTGAAAAATAACGCCTCTCTAGAATGAAGCGAAGGTTGGTATCCGAAGGGGCCAAAGATATTTCAGACACTATACAGTGTGTTCAACTTTGGGCACTGTCAGTATATGTGCTTCAAGGACATGAGAGCACATGCGCTGAAACACCATACGTGTTCCATCGCAAAGATCCTAAAGGCATTGGTGAAAGTATAAATAAATATTTTGGAAATGAAAAAAAATACATATATATATAAGAAAATAAATTGGAATAAAAATTTACAAACTATATTTCAGAGTGTGGATACATATTTGAAAGGAAAAAAAAAAGAAAATTGCAAACAACAAAACTATATTACAGATATGACATGAAAACTAACGCCTCTCTAGAATGAAGCGAAGGTTGGTATCCGAAGGGGCCAAAGATATTTCAGACACTATACAGTGTGTTCAACTTTGGGCACTGTCAGTATATGTGCTTCAAGGACATGAGAGCACATGCGCTGAAACACCATACGCGTTCCATCGCAAAGATCCTAAAGGCATTGGTGAAAGTATAAATGACCCATATCTTCTGCTCCTTCAGATTTCAGTCTTCCATTCATTCTGAAGAGGCATCAGTTTTCACTAAAGTTGGCTTTTGCTATGACTATAAATAATATTTGGGTTCTTGCTACAAGAGCCTGTGTTTATGCATGCAAAAGCAAAGTTGTATTTAAACAACAATCAACCTTGTAAATTTGATTTTTAAAATGGTCGAATTATCGAAAGTGTCGAATTATCGAAAGTGTCGAATTATCGAGTGTCGAATTACAGTTTGTGTATGTATTTTTTAATAAGGTCCTCTTATCTTATCTGCAATATAGTTGTATTTTTCGAAATTTTATTTTCTAATTTGTTAATTTCTTTCTTTTTTTTTCACTCTAATAATATTTATTTAAATCTAATAATTTTTATTTAATGCAATTTAATTAATAATTTATTTAATCCAATGTCTATAGTTTCTTCCCTGAAATTGCTTACCAAACATGAGTCAGTGTTTCCACAGTGTTAACAGTTGGAGTGTTAGAATGCGGAGAAGCAAAATAACTCCCTACTGAATTTCTCAATAGTCTCACTCCCAGAGGAATGCATCCACACCAGTTAACCTCTAGGTTGGTACTATTGTTATGATTCTGAGAAGTTTTAATCCTAAGCAGGGTCTTTGAAAATGGTACACGTATGGTGATACAGTGCATGTGCTCTCATGTCCTTAAAGTAGTGTAGTTCTGTTGTTTGCAATTTCATTTTCTGATTTGTTAAAATTTTTCTTCTATAGTTTCTCACCTGCGGGTCCTTCGGGTAAACCCGGGGCGTTGCCCGGGTCACTCGGCTAGTATGTATATAAAAAAGCAAAGCCCAATTCTAAACCCAAATATTTTTTTTATGAGAAGAACATCAACATATTGCATGATTACGGCAGT